CACTGGACGCCACGAGCTATCCCAGCCGATCCAGCGTCGGGAGAAAATCGCGTGACCTTTCGGTTGGCCAGAGCGACGCAGAGAGCTCAAGGTCACATGACACTCTCTCAACGCTGAATTGGCTGGGATAGCTCCTAGCGTTTGCTGCGCTCAGACTGAAGGTGAAACGGAGTATAGGAGCCATCCCAGCCAATGCGGCGTTGAGGGAGTGTCATGCGACCTTGAGCTCCCTGTGTCGCCCCGCCCCACCGGCAGGTCACGCGACTTTCTCCCGGTGCTGGATCGGCTGGGATGGCTCGTGGCGTCCACTGCGCTCGGACTGAAGGTGGAACGGAGTATAGGTGCTAAGTGCGGGCTTTGCACTGGGTGCCGTTTTTGTACTGGGTGCGGACTATCTAAGCAAGCACTTTTATTTTTGACGCAAAATATTTCCCTGCGGACTATGCACCGGGTCCGGGCTATAATCCGGAAAATGCGGTAGTTCCTTCGAACTCTAGGGTTCTTGGACGATGGCCCTTAGCCTATGCCCATCCTCACATGGCCTTGGGTCACTTTACATGGACGGCAGAAGCAGTCAAATGCTCGGAGTAGCCAAGCATGTTTATCGCAAAACAAAACAAAAATTCAGAGACAAAACCGAGAGGCTAGGCTCTGAAACGCTGCAGAAAGGAGAGTTCGGTTTCGGGCGCTTCTCTGGTATCGCCGGAGGAAAGGGGTCGCTGTGCCTCCCGCCGCAAATCGCCCATTATGCGCTTAGCTTGGCTTATCTGGCCCCGAGATGCAGCAACAAAAGGAGTCTCCCCGCCGTCAAGTCAACAGTGGGAGAGGAGGAAATGGGAAGTGTGGCGAGGGGAACTTTTTTCTGGTTGAAAAATATTCTGCAGGTTGGTCTTTGAGCGCCGCGTGGTGGGAAGTTTTGAAACTAGCCCGAATGTCTCGGAATCTTGGCCTTGATCGGCCTAGGGCGAATTGCCCTATTCGACGAATTGTCCTTCTTCCAGTTGTCCAGAGACCAATGGAATTTCGACGGATTGGCCGGATTGGTGGTGCAATACGCTTCCCTTATAAGAATAGAAAGGCACATGGAACGATCTATTGTTATATTCACACATGATGTAGGCTATTAGTAAATCCGGGTGTGAATCTTCTGCTACTCGCCGAGACAGGTGCGTTCGTGTCCTTTATCAGCAGTCAAGCTCCCACCTACCAAGACGTCATGAATTACCTTGACAGGATGGCGAGCTTTGGAGTGCTTCCAGAAGCCAATTAAATTGCATGGGCTTCTGAAAACCACTATGCATGTCACATGCAAACAAAAAAAAAGTTGCGTACCGCGTGATACTAGTATTATCGCTCTACTCACTGACATACAAACCTATTGACAGTCAATGCATGCGTATGTAAACTACCGACGACTGCAGTGTACAGTGACTAGATGTCTGTTGCAAAAATAAACGACAAAACTTAAAATTTGTTAAATTCGCAAAATTGTACTGCATTTACTCAGGAATTGTCAGGTTACACCCCCCACCACCCCTATGCATTTATAGGCGCGTTAGATTTAGATTTAATTTTGAATAAATATATCTATATTTGTTTTATTAGTGGCAAATTACGCTTGTGCAAACTGTTGATGCCTCGCACCCACAGCTCTTTTTACAAAAACAATTAAATATTGACTCTGCGCATAGTCAGTGGCGCTGGCGGGCGGTCATGTGTTTACAATGCGGGTCTCCGTGTGTTGCTCATATATATAAATCGAAATGGGAAGGGATGAGGACTGAACTATAGATTCCTGGGATCTGAAGAGCGGCTTTCATAGACGTCCCCCAATTGCGCTGCACCAGAACACCCAGATATTGCATCCCTATTATATATTTCAAATTGGCTGACCTATGTCATCGAAACATTCGAAACATTTAAACTGTTAATATCAAAGGAGAGTTTGGCGTCGTACAATCGACGCCTTTAACCGATTGGTACATAGCTGCGCATCGGCACTCGGCTAACTAACCATCATGCCTTCCTATGGATGAAATTATAATATTTGTTTCTGCTCTGTTTCTTTTTCAATCCGTCAACGTCGGCTTTTGTGGCACGACATTTTAGTGTGAGGAAACTACGACAATGCTTGCAGGAACGCGAACTAAATATACACACAAGTCTGTACGTTTAAGAAGGCAAACTATTCTAGCACGTGACAGGCGAGACGGAATGCCGAACGTGCCTGAATGTCCAACGAGACGAAAGATTCAACCGAGACGAATATACAACGAGCCTGAATGTCTATCGAGAGGAAAGATCCAACTGAGGCGGAATGTTTAACGAGCCTGAATGTCCATAGAGACGAAAGATCCAACCGAGACGGAATGTCCAACGAGCCTGAATGTCCAAAGCGCCTGAATATCCATTCTTGGATCTTCTGTCTCGTTGGAAATTCAGGCTCGTTGGACATTCCGTCTTGTAATCCTCGGGACATGGCAGTGACCTTGATCAAATTTTCAACGACAGCACACATAAAACCAGGACACTTCAGGGCATCGCAGTGACTTTGAAAAAAAGTGACGGGTCATGATAAAAGAGCTACGTTCGTGGATTGTGCAGTTGATAGAATGGACAAACAAATGAATGATTGTTTTCGAGCTGAAAAGAGGAATTTTCGGGTCATGAACACTGCCGTGATGGAACTAGAAAGGGGATCGCTACGATTGCTGCTGACTGACAAAAGTGGTAGGTTTGGTGTACTTCCGGAGAAAATGTTCCAAATTCAGTCGGAGGAAGCCCTCAACGCACTCTTTGTTGAATGGAAAGGAGACATTAGGAAAATTAAGAAGAATGTTGTTGCAATCCTCAAGGAAGATGAGATGGATTCGTTGGCAAAAGAAGTAATGAACCAAACAAGATCGTCATTAAGTCTGATATGTTTCTCGAAAGATCATAAACCGGATATGCCCCTTCGCACGGTAATTAAAGAACTCGAAACTTGGCAGTGCAACGTCTCAAAATTTCTACAAAAAGGGTTGAATGTAATCCACCTAGAAGGGAGGGAGTCTTTCACTGAGAATTTTAGGCACTAATCGATGACCTAGAAGGCTTTCATGGAAGACAAGGTACAGTAATATCAATGAACATCAAGGATTTATACTATTCGCTAAATAAGGTTCGCTTGATGCATAGGGTTCGGCAAGTGCTACAGCTGAACCTGCTAAGTTATCACTCCAGAACAGGTATCGCCGTCGACAGTTTCCTTTCTGTTGATTTATATCTTCAGGCGACAGTTGTTGAATGTAATGGTCGGAATATATGTTCAGAGAGATGATGTTTACATTGGCTTGTCCGTGGCACCCATGTTAGCAGAAATCTATGCGAACACCTTAGATAAGTACGTAACTGAAACCCTTAATGAAACGAATTGAATGGATGCTTAATAGAAAAGGTACGTTGATGACATTTTTACTTGCGCTTTTCGAGAGAAGGATGCTCGGTGTTCGGAATCGATTGTAAAAAACAGCAGCTCCGGAGCTTAAGTTTACAACCCAACAACCTGAAAATGGGTTCCTGCAGTTTCTTGATTTACGCACACATGTCGAACAAGCTCGTTTTTGTTAGTACGTAAAAAAAGCCGCAAAACCTGGGCTAAGTAGGAAAAGTTGCCACACCAAATCGGTTAAAGCAGGGGTAGTGAGGTCGTTAGTAACGAACGAATTGCGTAAATTGTGCACTTATTTTATGGGTAATGCGGTCAAGAAACAGTGGTTGAGGCTAAAATCTGCAGGACATGAAGAGGAATTCATCAAAAAGCAGTTAGCAATAAAATTTCAAACCGGACACTGGAAAAAGGGAAAATATAGCAGTAACCCCGTATTTCCACGGCATTCCCCAGAGCCTAAAGGCTTGCGCGAAAAAGTTTGGAGTAGACGTAGTGTTCCCTTCAGATTTCAAAATGAGCAGGTTGGCGCCATTTCTGTTAAACCACAAATGCTGTCAGAAAGCCCATCAGGAACCTTTAGTTCCGTGCAAAGAAAGTGTGGTATATGAAATTCCGTTAAAATGAAGGTTCAAGTACGTGGGACAAACCTCGAGATGCCTCAACGATAGGTAATTAGAGCACAAGAGAAATGTGAACACGAAAGCGCCGAACTCGGAAATTGCAAAGCACAACGAGGAATGCATCAATTGTACTGTGCACCGGTCAGAAACGGAAGTTCTACATAAAGAACGATATATGATATAAAGAGGGTCGTTAAAGAAACGATAAGAATAAGATCAATGGGAAAATGCATAAGCCAAGCATCAATGCAACTTGGAAACAACTCCAAAAAAGTTTCTGAGACTATGAACGAACACATCGATTCGCGAGAAAAGGGAAGGTAAAGAAGGAAGATTAGGGGGACAATATAGAGATCACCAGGATATGTTTCCCCAAAGTAATTCTTCTCTCTGTTTTTTTTTTTTTTTTTTTTTTAAGGGTATGTGTGGTTTTCGTGCTACTGCTTAAATAGTTCGGCACTTTTTACTTTCAATGTCGCTGTGATGCCTTGAAGTGTCCTCGTTTTATGTGTTCTGTCGTCGTTAATCTTATCAAGGTCACTTCCATGTCCCGAGGTGTCCTACAGATAAGGGCCTCTTTTGTCTCTGCGTGCGCTTGATCTCTTTGTGTGTCATATATGTTCTCTTCATTTGGAACTGTTTGCAACAAAGGAGATTCTGTGTAGAGCGTGCTTGGGAAGGGCTTCGTGGGTATATATAGGATGGTCGAGAATTAAACCAGTTGGCTGAATTTGAGACGTCCCTTCCTGTGTCTGTTCCTTCTACTAAAAACTTTCAAATTTCTTCCACCACAGTCTCAGGTGTTATATGACGTGATCAGATTAGCTACTGCGCTGCACAAACCCAGAGTTTATATTTATAGTGGAATCAGGTCGCCTTCATCCAAGGCAGATTTCCCCTACACAAACAACTGTGCGCGCGGTTTGACATTCACGTGGCCTTCTACTCACCGGGCGGTGTGGCAATGCCGTATCCTTTGGAGTCCAGTAGCCCTCCAATCTGCGTGAGCTGGCAGTTCTTTTGAACCATGTACTCGATGGTGGTAGACTCCATGAGGTAGGCGTAACCCCCTCGAAGCACACGCTCAACGCCTTTGAGGTTAGAGTCCGCGAAGACGCTCGGCTGTGCCGCTGTCATTGCAGCCCACATGCGCTTGATTAGAGCCGAGTCAGAGTCCTGAAACAATAGACAAGGTGAGAAGCAACTATCTCGCTTTCCTGCCAATCAGGCATTACTGAGACTCAGAGGTACGAACGTGTAATTAAAACCCTTACACTGACCTTGGTTATTTAGTAGTTGGGAATCGTCGCACTTTTTGGCCATCATTGACTATATTTTCACGTGTATTAATTATCGTCTTCAGTCACATTTAGAGTAAGTAAGATTCACAAATTAGGTTAATTTCATTAACTGGGGATTACATGTAAGGCGGAGATACGTAAGCGACATAATACGAGACTATTGGTCACGATGATTTATTTCGCTAATTATTTCGGATGTAAACACTGACAAAGCCTAACATCAAGATAAACCTGGCGGTATAAGGACGGCCAAGGTACATGTTTTAGAACTATTGAACAGATACCAGCATTAAATAAAGCTAGTAGACATCTTGTTCAGCGTTCTCAATTTGGATTTTAATATACCATTAAACTGTTGAAGCATTTGACATGAGCTGCGTGGGGAAAATCATCCTCTTGAATTAGATTTAAATAAATTTTATGAAAACTTAAGTTGTCGCGATTCTTGAACAATACAACTTCGCAATAAGTTAAAAAGAATGAATTGAACTTTTTCATAACGTCCAGCCCGACGATATGTCTTACCAACACCAACAATTACGTCAAACACCACCTATTTGTTACGCTTAACTGAATAAATTTATTATTGTGAGAATGAAAATTTGAAGCGTATTTTATACATTAAAATTTTTATATTGCTTACGAACATCCCCCATTATATTTTAATGAATACACTTGTCCTTGCTTATGATCAGAAATAATATTTAAAATATCTGAAAACGATACCCAGGTACTTTCACAGCAGCGTGCAGAGTGAGACAGTACAGCGAACAAAACAAAACGTCTTTAGTGCTCATGCACTAAAGACGTTTTAGAAGAGTGTTGCAAGAGAGGGCTTACATGGAAGAAGGTCTTCGTCGATCCTGATTCCAAGCACCCATAATCAATCTTTGTCTGCTTTGCCAAATCATTGACGTTCTCAATAGGCGATGTCAGTCTTTGAGCGGTGAGGAAAGCAGCGAGGTTGGCCGTGTAAGAGGAGATCATGATGAGAGTGAAGAACCACCAGATGCTGGCAATAATCCGAGTTGACACCGCACTGAAACATGGGAAGGTGGTATGAGGATGCAAGAAAACGCCATGGTGCGTCATGAACAGCGACAAAAGTGTCCAGCGTTCTGAAGACGAACTGGCACGTCTATATGATATGAAGGGACTTAATGAAAATCGATGTTAACCTGCAAACAAGAGAAAAAAAAGGGGGGGGGGGAGGAGCTGTCAGAGGGCACATCAGGCGTGTTCGAAAGAGAGTGAGCCACAATGGTCGTTCTTAAAACAAGTGCGCCTGAATACATGGGGCCTGAAACACATCAATTCTCACTGCTGAATTCCATCTCTATGAAGATTACTAAAAGTAGAATATTTACATGTATAGCTGCATTATTCATAACACTTGCTTCTTTTTGCAGGTATTAATGTCTACAATTTGTTATATTTTACTTCACCTTTTCTTGTGACCGACCGTATATATGGCTCATAATTAGTTTTGGAACGGGTTTGGAAGAATTATGTCCCGCGTTTATTAAAATAAGCCTGAGAAATCCTATTTGCCTAAATGATAAAAAATAATACATAATTGTGAAGCTTGTTCATCTACCGGTAGGAAAGGCTGAAATATAAAGCACGTAGGCAGTTCACTGCCCATTTTTCTGGCGCTATCCGGCTTAGCAAGAAGGGTACTCGTTAAGGCTTTGTGGATAATGTAATGTAAGATGCCAACAAGTAAGTCTGAGTTATGCGATTGAAACGCGCTAAAGGACTGATTTTTCAAATACGGTTATGCGGATCTATATGCAACAAACTCAATAGCGGCCGCTTTCAAAATGCTTAAATCTGTGTAAAAAAAAAAGAAAAAAAAAGGGTGATTTCACCTTAAATCGGGCAGGCTAAAAGTGACTAATTTTTATTTTCGTTCAAAAAATATATGTTTTGGGGGCAATCTCTAAAAGGAAGGAAAGCACAAACCGCAATTTTCCCGTATTTTGTTTTCTTCAGATGGAGCGTACAAGACGCTGCAGCAGAGACTTTTCCCTTGCTGTCACAGTTCGTATGTTTGACACCCTCTGTTACTTCTTTTTATTATTCCTTGCCTCCTTTAAATTTTTTCGAGAATTTAGAATGTACTATAAAGACACTCAGTATCAAACAAAAATGTATAAGCTTTTAAACAAAAATTTTACTAATGTGAAACTGACGTTTACGGGCGACTTTGCGTCAACTTTTACTGATCTCTACTTCGGTTAGTCGTAGGATAAATTATATATATATATATATATATATATATATATTAGATCTATGCAACGCCCAAACAAACTGATTTTAGATATAATAACATTCAGATTCGTTCATTATCCATCTCACTACCGTCGCGCGAACAGTGTATAAAATAACAAAAGTTTGATGTTTGAAATTAATTTTCTCTAAAACATCCTTTTTAAAACTTTATAGTTTTTTAATGCTTTTAGGTAAAATAGAAGCCTATAAAAATACAATTTATCAATGCCATATTTTGGTTGTATGCCTTCTAGTTGAGCCGCGATGTTTTGAAATTTCTGTTTCTTTGGATAAACAACAAGCATCCTTCTATGATTTCCAATCTACTTTTTGTCTGCGTTTTGAGAGACAAGCATAAAGTAGACAAGCAACAAGAAACTTGACGTCGCGGTGTCGGTTAAATAAAAAAATTTACAAAGCAACTTCCCGCCACGCAAACCCTCCGTAACTTAATGTTTCCCAGCAGCGAGCGCGCGCACTTTGGTCCGTAGTAACCCTACGCTCTGTTCTAATGCAGTCCTCCCAGGCGGCACACAGTATTGGGCCAACATTGGATTTCATGTGGCAAAGAATGGCCCAACAATGGCCCAACTGAGCCATATGTTTTCCAATATTGGAAACACATTGGACAATAATGGACTATGAAAGCCAATGGTTTTCCAATATTGGTGATACGTTGGCATAGGCTGTTCAACATTGGACTGTCAAAGCCAATAGCTTTCCAATATTGGATATATGCCGGCATAAGTTGTCCAATATTGGACTGTCAGAGCCACTTGCTTTCTGATATTGGCTTTACGCCGGCATAGGCTGTCCAATATTGGACTGTCAAAGCCAATAGCTTTCCTATATTGGATATACGCCGGCATAACCTGTACAATATTGGACTTTCAGAGCCAATATTTTTCCGATATTGAATATACGTTGGCTTAAGCTGGCTAATATTAAACTGTCAAAGCCAAGGGTTTTCTAATATTGGTGATGTCTTGCTATAGGCTGGTCAATATTGGTACTGCCATAACCAATGGCTTATCGATATTTATGTCGCTTAGGCTATAGACCCGCGAACCTCTTTTTTGCATTGCAGAGGTGGGAAATTGGAAAAGAGTCATTCATGATCTCGCTCGGGCGAGAATTTTATTTAGCCAACTTCATGGGGCGTTGGAGAACATAATAGCGCTTCCAAGAACCCGCATTACTCAACTTCATGGGGCGTACGTCGCCGGTGCTTTATAACCGCGATCGCAAATACGTCCTTAGCTGTCTATAGGACTATTGCATTTTTTTTTGCCGGCTGCTCTCCATTCGCATTGCCTTACCTCGGCGTTGACAACTTAACTCCGTTTTTTTAGATTTAAGTATTTTTGTCTTTTACAATCTATTTTGTATATATACGTAGCGTTAACGTATTCTCTTTGTCCGTGCCCCTGTCATGTTTGGTTTTCTTTCTGCGTGCTCTGTTTTTTTATATTTAATGTTTCTGTGCATATTTAGTCATTGTCGACGCAGGTGTCAACAAACATAAAGCCGCCGCTTACGCCGCTACCGAAGTGACTCTCAGTTTTACGAGAGTATATCGCGCTATAAAGTCCTATATTAAACTCGAGTGAAGTTTCGAGAGGGTTGCTTCGACTGACAGTGCACATGTCATCAGTGTAGGCAGAGCAACGACGTAGCTATCGCGACGCGAGAGGACACTGCGCCTCGATCTGGCCGGCCGCGCTCGCTCTGTGGAAATGTGAGCGTGGGACTCTCGAGCCCCGTTAGCTTACTGAAGCTGCTAGACACTACTTCGTTGTCACGAATCATTTGCCCTTCGAACGGTCGCGAAGCCGTTGCGCTCGGAGTACCCTACCAAGCATCTTTCAGAAACCGTTCGCGCAGCATCGCAACCTTCCGTCTGCGAGCGTCGGCGATTCATCGTGTGTTGAAATTCAGACGATGTGCTGTTTGGGGTGTCGTTTATGTGTAACTCTTTCGTAAAACAATTTGAAGTTTAAAAACACGAACCTAACAGCGTACAAACAGTTTTAAAATTATGGATAAAAATATATTTAGATATACTTGTTTACATCGAGCGCAAAAAATAGTTGCGCTAAGTTCTTCATTACATTATATTATATATTTATATATTATCATATTTACGTTATGCGACGTAAAACATACTATTTTCAAACTTGCCCCGTTTAGAACCGCTTTTGGGCTGGAGAGCTTCTTTAGAAGTTCAAAAGCTGACCTTCAAAGAGCTGTCCTGTTAAATCGGTATTGACAGCAGGGTAAACGCTATGCGTGTTTAAGGCCAACCGCGTCTCAGGTTAGGGTCACTTGACTACAGTCTAGAAGCTGCTGATAAGGCAGAGCACGGAACCCGCCTAAAGCCCAAGGTCACGCATAACATCTACTGCACTATCAACATTGGGTAGAAGTGACAAATTCTCTCGCTGCGTTCATTTTTGAGATGCCCCTGAAGATTAGCCTTTGTAAGCGCACCCCACCCCCGTTGTGGCCTGCTTGCTTTGTCCTCCTTCTCTTTTTTTCTCTCCCTAAGCTGAAGGCTCGGTAGACGGTCCGTACTCGCCGGACCAATGAACCGTACACGTTCTATCGCTTGAATCTGCTCTCTGTGCGCGGGTAACGGCAGAAGCGTGATCACGTGGTTTGACGGATGACGCATTAGCCGTTGACAAACTCGGAATGCCTGCGTCGCGAAGACCGGACCTCGCGTGTGATGGGGCCTGCGGGGTGCGGGTCCGCTGTGGATTTCGCTTCTGTGGTAAATGGTATCTCGTTCGAAAAGTCCCACCCGTGTCGATTTCTTCATAGAAGCCCAAGACATTCTTCTGAATCGTTTAGTGTTCGGTTCGGCAAATGGCAGCGTGTGCTACATCGTGTTGAATCTTCACGGATCACTTCCTTCTGGTTTTTGTGTTTGAGTGGTTTTTCTGCAGTGCCCGTGTTTACATATATGTTGGATTACATCTTTCAAGTCCGGTATTTTGAAAGTAAGTGCGCTGCAACCTACTTGGTGATCATTGTCCGTTCTTGTATGGGTAATCTTCCGGATAACCTCTAGAATTGGGCAGGGCCTATCTCCTGGCAGCCGGGTGAATAAGTTTCCCGCAATCTTACCGACAGTCGCCTGCCATTATCTGTCTGAAATTATGTCACAACTGCAGGTAGAATGCTGACTTTTTTATTCTCCGTGCGTTTCTCAAAAACACGTTTCGTGGCCACCTTTTCGTCGACATTTTCGTTTCATCGACATGCGTTACGCGAATTGCGCGCTGTAGGGGCATTTCGTCGCGCGTGTATTCCTGAGGCGCAACGTTTCCTTGACATGCGTTACGCGAATTGCACGATGTAGGGGCATTTCAACGCAAGTGAATTCCTGAGGCGCGTGCTCACCGAACCAGCCCACCCTTTCACGCCGCTTCATGCCAAGTCTGAAGCGGTTCATTGCAAAAAAAGAAAAGAGAGAAAAAATTGTATTTCGAGTTTTTTATGAAACGTCGCGTGTTGATGAAACGATCTGTCTATTAAATGTCGTTCGATGAACTGATTGCACCGCCAATGAAGGCCGAATAGCGGTAGAATTTTGGGGAAAAAATTCTTCCAGCTGCCGGGAGACTGGACACTACCCAAGAATTACCCCGGTTGGTGTTTGCTTTGCAATCTTCTTAGTTCTATCACAGTTGAATAGTACCTCTTCACATATTACAAATTGCTGAGTTGGTGCTTGTCTACAGAATAACTGTATGTAATAAA